AAAATATTTTAGATTAAGTCACTGATGCTGTATTTCTCCAGAACCTTACCAAAAGTTCATACAGAGAAAAAGCAGTGTTAAAAGATTTCAAGCAAACTTAGGTTTTTATCAAAAGTCAGCAGAGAGCAGCGTTACTCCTGCACGTTTGCAAATTCAAACATTGTACATGTAACACTGAATGAGAATATATTCTAGATAATATTACGAGTGACATACAAGTAACGATGGACATACAATTACACATATTCGTATAGGCCTATACATTATTTGTTATAAATTTTCTTTCATTTACCATTGAAGAAGCAGTGATACTTACCAAACGTATTTGCTTCTACGCCTTATAAAAGCTAGACCCTTTGACTGTACCACTCATGCTGTTCTGTCTTCACCCAAATGTGTCCAGGTGAGTATTCTTGAAGACAGCTCGCACTACGATGAGCAACTTGTTGTTATGCAAATGCAATAGGTGTGGTTCATTTTAGGTGAAAGGTTGTGACAGAAACTGTTCATGATTGTTCACGGTCAAAATACAAGTAGACAGGCCTATGGCTTATGCCCACTTGTTAAATTCAACTACTTTATTCTAGAAAATTTATACGTACGTCTTCCACCTTGCAGTTATAAACATCCCCGTGATACAACATCTCCGTTGAGTAATATTTTGTCATGCAAATATCCCTGTGACACAACGTCTTCCACAAAACTCAACACCATGGAAAGAAGATGAATGTTGATAATTTTTTTACCAATAAGTCGGTGTGCCTACAATTCCGTTGCTGATAGACGTTAAATCCGACGACCGTTAGACCCAACTGCCACTAGATAAAAGATGAAAAATATATACCGCGATAAGTCCTCGCCCAAATTTGACCAACAAACAATAGAAAAGAACATGTGACACAAAATTTAGTTTTAAAAATCATGACACGCGTTCATTATAACAGGACTACAATCGTTTTAAGTTAGCTGAAAATGTCGTTTTGCTCAAAAGCAATTATTCCGGTTGTCATAGATATGCTCCAAAAAGTTGTATGACACTGTCAATGTACGCTATTACTGTACTGAATGTTTATTACTACGTTACGATCAGTCACAATTAGTCTCGATCTACTCTGTTTGAAGATGAAAAAATTAAGAGAAAAGCTACCGGAATAATTTCTCTAAATTCCATGAACAGTACTAGTTTTTAAAATGTCGTTGTATTATGTAAGATCGCAGTATTAAGTGCCTGAGAATTCCTACCCAAGTACTTTATTAAGTTTAAAAAATGATTTAAAAATCTATTCTGAAAAAAAAAAGAATATAAATTGATATACAAAACCCAAGAGACAAAAAAGAGGAAAAACAATGTTATTGGAGATACTTTGATCATTGTGTGCATGTCATTTTTTCATAAGTTTATCAAAAGATGTTTACCAAGTGAGAATAACACATCACTATTCTTGGTTTATGACTGAGATTGTAATACGCAGGTAGAGGCACGAATTTGTAAATTAATACTCATGCCAAAGAAACTCTTCAAGAGGATCATTAAAGCAAACTCCTTAGGCTGTAAATGTCGCATTTAAGGTAAAATAAAAGCCATTTAGCAACATGATCATTTTACTTGTTACTTTCTAACGAACACTGTAACAAAGATACCCTTAAAATAGTTCTGCTATAGAAAATTCTCCTATGATCAGCTTATCAGTGGAGGAAATGCATGCAGGATGAGGGAGAAAGAAGATGATTCGCACATGGGGTAAGACGTACTACATATTCGGGAGAGACAACACTTGCTGCGAAGATGTTGCTGTGCAATCTATCACTCATTCTCAATATAGCCCATTAAACATTTTTATTAAAAGTAAAGAAGCAGAAGAATTGTTTTTCCAAGTGAAACATAACTAACATCAGTCTACCAAATTAAATCACCAAAATATAAATACTAGATTTATCTGTTCTCACATAAAAACCGTAAACGGACTAAACTTTAAACCTTTGTTACTGTCGTTTGCAGCACCACCTTACTTTATCCAATCGATCTAGTTTATTTTTTACCAAAATAGATAAACTGCAACTTGTCAGGAAATGAGTATGATTTCTAACGTCTCAGAAAATGTCTGGAATAGTTATTTTCAATAAATATCTTGTGGCTATTTTCGCGGTGTCGCAGGATTTTTAAAAAATGAGAACACCGTTTCGTCTTTTGGCGCAGGTCAGTATTTTTAGTGTTTGATGTATCATTTCAATATCTGGCCTAAAATAAAATGTTTAATTCTATGATATCCATGAACAGCTAGATGATATGGTGACAGGGCACATTCAAATGTTTTACACGAAGCACGGCAAAACTGAAGTCTTTAATGAATCCATTCCCACATTCAAAATGATTCTGTTTTTTTTTCCTAAAAAAATTGGTTTTCTGTAATATTCTCTTAAGAGATTATTACAGAGTGTAGCCATCTATGGAGGTCACGTGATGTGATGGCAAACACAAATTCCAGAATAATTGCGTTAACCACCGTTTTTGGTGGTAAAATGGAACTTATTATATCAGCTGATTACAATGCATTTATTGTGGATAAATTCCGAACAGTTGTTATCCCTTTAAGTGATATGCAAAACCTTCGTTACCAGGCATTGTGAAAAATGCACTTGAGTTTGAGGAGGTCAAGATTTATAAGTAAAATAAACGTGCATCTCGTAATTACCCCTTTAGCGCACTCTAAATTTTGACGTGCGAATTGTTTTTGAAGTTTTCGTTATTACTAAATACGCCAAAATTTCCCGTACTAGCAAGGCATGAATTTTAACATTGTCCATGATTTACACAAAAAGCAAGATTTATCACTTTCGGTCACCAGAGATTTAGGAAAAGTAGACTTCGTGAACATATCTACAAACCACCATAAAAAAATCCCATTCACTTCCATTGTAACGTTTAATTCGTTTAAAAATACTTTCCAAGCTTCAACAAGCACAGCACTTCAGGTTTAAACACTTCTACTCAATTCCTAAACAATATAAAAAAATCAGGGTACATTAATAATAATAATAATAATAATAATAATATGTATTTATTTGCAACTTAAAAAAGTTGGATTTTACAATAAAAACAAATAGTGGTGAGATGCACAATCTTAAAATATACTTGTAAGTGTTAAAATGATTTGATACACATTAAAAGTTCATAAAAACCTCAGTTCTTAAAATTTGATAAAGCCCATGGGATAAAAGTTTTTGACGATCGTACAGTCCTCAATTTTGGCACAGTGTACTTATAAACCCGGCGCAAAGTGTAGGAATTTTCATTTATCTCTGGTAGCAAATGATGGATTTTGTTATAATTTTGTTTTAATGGTATAGCCTTCCAGTGACATGACCTGTAAGGTGCTGCTGCCAGTCGGCTCTAGCACTAAAATGCAGCAGGGGGAGGGCGTGGTAAAACTGGCCCTGGCAGTAACATTTTACCTTGATATAAAAAATAACACACAAAATTAAAGGTAAATGAACAAATTAATTTCTAAATTTTTTTTCAGAATTTTCAAATGATCCAAAATTGAAAAATAAACTCATTTTTCTCTTATATGCAAATTCAATTGCTTCAAACCAGGGAATTATATCGGATATAATTCCCTGTTCAAACTTACCAAACAAGGAAGGCCGGGAGTGACGTATAACCTAAAGTAGTGCTCAAATTTAATCAATCTAAATGAAATATTTACCAAAAACTCAACAGCAATCCTGAAACATATCAGGAAATTTTGGTGCCTGTTGTAACAGTATACTTATTGATATATTGCAGAATAAATTAAAACATAGTCCATCGTGTTACACCTGTAAATTACAACAAAAATAAGAGTAATTATGAAGACCTGTGATTTTATGAAAAAGTTATATAGCACTTCCAATTTTTTTACATGAACAACTTGTTCCTTTAGCTAATCCTTGGACATAAAAACGAAGGCTAATAAAAAATCCACACATATTTACCTACTATGACCATTTTCTGAATTGTTTTATGCTCCCCACCCCCTAATTACATAGATAAATATGGATAGGAAATTCTGATGCATTATTCCACACTTCCAAGACCTAAAACCAACATTGCATACAAAGGGCAAGGTGTCAATTCCTCACATGGAAAAAAATCCCAGTTTCAGACCTGTGTAAACACTTCCCCTGGGGAGTTGAAATCAGTAGGGGCTCTGTGCCAGGTGGCTGGGGATAGCAAGCTCACGCAAACATCCTGCTGCCTGGCTTCCTGCTGCCCTGTATAAAGAGACCCTAGCTCACCCAAAAATCATATCAGCTTACAGAGTTTGTCTGAAGTTCATGAGTGAAAAATACTGTCATCTTAGAGGAGGGAAAAAATAGAGTTGCCAGAAGACAGAATGCCAGGAAGAAAAAGGGCCAGAAAATGGAATTTTCAGCCAGGCAATACCTATGGTTCTCAGTACTGGCAAGGTGTCAGTGAAAAAAAAGCAGACCAGAGGAAAGAAGAAAGTCACCCTTTTACCAGACTGAGTGCTTCTCAGTATGAAGACCATGTGGCAGTGAGGAGAGACGGCAATCTCAGCCTCTATAATGACGACGGAAATCCTGCTCCAGTGAGGTTGCTGAGACCAGTAAAACCAAAGGCCACACTCCAGCCGCCTGAGGCTGCTGATGGCAAGCCACCAGTAAGTGACGACTGTAGCTGCTGCAGTTTTTTAATGACTGCTTTCAAGCGCATGGACAGACCAGTGTAACCTTTCTCACTTTTCTTTTTTTTTTCTTAAAATTGACCTTTACATTCATGTAGATTTACTGCATGTTGAGAATCAGCGTAGTTTATTTTTTCCACGGATTAGTAATAGTATTCGTGAGCTACGTCATCGAATTGTGTGCTACGACGTTATCCACAAAACCTAAACACGTGGGACTGAAGGTTAGAGCGTGCTATAACTACGGTAAATATGACAAGTACCAAATGCACTGTTTATTTTGGAACAAAGCTCAGTTTACCCCTGTCCCCTTCCCTGCTAAAGACGTGCATTGTGTACGTATCGGCGGTAACAACAACAAGAATCTGTACTGATTAAGTTAAGTTACTTAGCTCGATCTTTAAAATCAAACGTCAAAACTACATGTATCTCCCCTCACCCTCTCTCCCCCTCTCTCTCGCCTGTACAAATCCTCGACGAAGTTTGTTCGTGACACCATGCTGGGCGATCATCTTAATCGGTTATCCCCATACTTGATCGGGTGATGCACCTAACAGAGTAACATAAAATACCATAAAACAGATTTTATCAAAATGGGTTGGTATTTTACAGATCGAGTTATTGGGACATACATACATACTTACCGGTATATGTTCAGTTTCCAGACTGTATTAAAAATAAAATTACAATTTTCTCCTTTCAGAAAATGTCCAGAAACATATACTTTGCAGGAAGCATACGTGCTGGCCGACAAGATGCAGAATTGTATGCTAAAATCATTGATAAACTGAGAAAATATGGGACAGTACTGACGGAGCATGTTGGCTTCATGGGAGGTATGCGTAATCAATCACATTTTTTTCATCATATTATTATCTACATATAAAATAATCAGAACTCTTAAGTAAATGATAACTAAACGAGAAAGAGAATACATAATTTTCAAAATACTGATGATAGTACGTACAGTAAATTAACTTTAAAGAACCAGCGACTGAGCTGGTGCATGGACAAACGCCACAGATGAATGCATGGCAGGATGATGAATACTGCTTAGCCAGGCCTGTAGACAAGGGGGCTACAAAAATGCCCTTTTGGTTGGAAAAAGTCCACTCTACATCAAAATTTTGATTTAGTTTCCATATGACATTTCTCAATGTGGATAAGAAGGCCCACTTCAGAAAAAGAACCCCCTTTGAATTGCTAACTATAAAGACCAGTTGGCTTTCATTATTATGCCCAGAAAGTCACAAATTTGGGGATCACCTTCATGGCTATGAGATATCACCCACATAACCAGTGGTGGCTTGCGATTTAGATGTGCTTGACACATCAAATGGCATATTAATCTTTATTTCATTTAACCCTATTCAAAATATCAATTTTTTCATGTCCTCTAGCTGAAGACAAAGATCCAGATAAGAAACTCACAGACAAGGAAATTTATGACAGGGATATGGCATGGCTTAAGCAGAGTGACGGTTAGCATTTCCATTATATATCTTGTTCATATTTGTTTAAAACTAGTACATGTAATTACATCTTTACTTCATGTTTTAAGAAATCAATTATTATGGGTGAGCAGAGTATACTAGCTGTTGCCAGCTTAATTCATGTATTATGCAAATGTAAGCTGAATAATTCATTATTTAATTGCAGCCATTGTGGCAGAAGTCACCCAGCCATCTCTAGGTGTTGGATATGAAATAGGGAGAGCAAATGCTATGGGGAAGAAGATATTGTGTTTGTTTAGACCTTCCTCTGGAAAAAGTAAGGTTCATCTGATACATTCTAATAGTAAGATATCTCACCTGACACACTGTGCTGCATATTTTGTGAATGTAACTTCAGTGTAGTACAAATTGTTGTGATAAATATTTTGACGAGAAATATTTCATTTTAAATCAGAGTTATACGTTTCAGTAGAATAATGTATCAATATTTAATCAGATTTGACTTGCAATGTAAATTAAAAGTGTTATATGCAGATTTGACAAAATACATTTAATTGGATGAATGTGACTTTTTTAGTCAATATTTATAACCTTAATTAGAAAATATTTGATGAAAATCATATAGAAAAAAACTTCACTCGCCAAGATAAAATGGGTTATATTATCTTAATCTCTATTCTTTATTTTGTCTAGGTTTGTCTGCAATGATAAGTGGAGCTGAAGGTGGTTCCTCTAAGCTGATCAACAAAAGTTATGAGAAATTAGAAGATGTGGACCCCATTTTCAGTGAATTCTTCCAGTCATGATGGTCTCCAAGTCTGATCCCCCTTAGATGTTTTCATCCTCTTTCTGTCAGATGCCAACAACTGTATTGTTTCTTTGTAAAATTGCTCTTGAAACTAAAGTGATGCATTGTGGGCTTTTGGATGTACATGTATATGATCATTGATGGAACTTTTAGTATAATATAGCAGATTCCCATAGATATACAGTACTCCAATAGCCCCACTATGACTGTTATGTGATGCATACTTAGAAGGAATGTCTATTTGTCTGTTTCCAAACACTGTACCCGGAAGATCTCATGATGAAGTCTGGCATAGAAAACTAATGACTCTCCACTCCTTAGAAACCTCAAAGGGGGACTATTGTTGACACATGTTTATATATTGTAAGAAATGTTCTTTTGTGATAACAAAATATTGTTGGGTCATGGTCACAAAGTTATCTTATATCAAATTTTAATTATGAAATTTCACGTGGTTTCAAGTAAGCCACTAGCTGCAGCTTTATAAAAAGTTGTCCATACTGCAGTTCAATGTGATTGATGTATAACATACCCTGTGAAATCATGACAAACTGAAAAAATAAATGCATTTTATATTTTCCCTAATAATTTGTATAGTAGACTAAGTGAATATCAGTTACCGTTTAACATTTTTCCATAAAAATGAAATCTCCCTTTACAACAAATTGATAAGCTCAAATGATTATCAGTAGTTTCATATAAAAAATTAACATTTTGATCGTTTATTGTACAATAAAATGAAGACCATGATTGCAAGACTGGCTACAAGTCTTGCAGATCCAAAACTACAGTAGCCTCATTCCACGAGCAATTTTCTGAGTAATGCTGAGTACACATGTACATTTAAACACCACATCCAAAGCTGTGAGGGTGACCTAAAAATTCAACCCTGAATCTTGAATGGGTCCACACCATAAATATCTATGGCTGAAATGCAAGTTAATTTTTTTTTCGCGGTCTAAATACAGTATACCAGTATATTTGACAGATTTCCATGATCCTTATTAGTTTCCATATTGATTGACTTGATATTACAGGAAATTATACAGTGCAGTAAACAATATTAAAATAATTTGTTATTGACAGTCCCAGTCTAACAGTTTTCATAACTACTGATAGGTGCAAGGGGGAAGGCATAAATTTGCTTTTATCAATTACATGTATGTCAAAAAATTCATATGAAAAATAATATATAAGCATATATATCACTAATACACAAATATGTGAAAGGAAACAATTGTTTTGCACTTATCATCTGGTGTGTATGTTATGTGTAGTAAACTGTTAAACGCACTAATAGTTTGATCATGTGAACTAACAGAGAGAGAGAGAGAGAGCGAATGAACGACAAAAATAGGACGTGACGTCACGGAAGCTATTTGAAATACATTATTTAGTTTCGATTTTATAGGACTGGTGTATGTATTTAGATTATATCAAACAACTGAATGCATTAGTTTAGGTCTGTGATGTTTATACTGATATCTTTTTGACTTCATGTTACAAGCATTCGATATACTTAATTTCGCGCGAATCCAGTCACGTGGTAGGAGAAGCAACCTCGCCATTTTGCAGAGTGAAGTTCTTTGTTGACGACGTCGCTAATATATTGCCGCCGGTCGAGGAGGTGTTAAAAGGGTAAAATGATGCTCCTGTAAAAGTCTGTTATTGTTCATAAAAGGAATTTCAATAGCATGAATCGTTCTTTTGTTAAAGTTTTGATGTTCAGCTACAAAAAATGCAACTTGCAAAAACGTAGATTCTAAAGAAGTCTAGCAAGAAGCTGTTTCTATTTCTCAAAAAGTAAAATAATACAATTTCAGGCTACCCTACAAATTGAGGCTTTATGATAGCACATAAATAAAGTATTGACTTCGTAAATGCACATGCACGTCTAATGTTATATGTGTTGATAGTCAGTTGTTGCAATTATTGTTTGTATTTCCAGGCGGCGAAATGGCTCAGTTTGGAGCTGGGAAGAACCCTCCCTGGGCGAGACCCCAGGCTGGAGTCACAGGTAAGAAGGACTTTGACCTTCAGCTTTATTATGGTTTATTTTTCCTTATTTCTAGACCAATGCCTGACAACAGCACAGATTGAAACGGTCCCATGTTAAAATGTTCGAAGGTCATTCAAATTCACTGTAAAATAAAGTCTTCTCTGTGATGTTTTGGAAGTTCATGAAGTGCATTCATTGGCATAGGTCTAAAATGATTGTGTAAAGAAATTATCATGTAGAAGAAGTCTGCCATTTGCATTGTGCCTCTTATATGTCTGTTACATTTGTATAATATTAAAGTCATAATAACTCTTCGTTTTGGCCAAAAATTGGATTTTCCTGGAGTAAACGGCAATTTTCCCGTACTTACCAATGGCCAACGACCCCATTCCTGCATTCAAAGTTAATCCAGGGTTTTTTTCCTAAACGTACGGTTTTTTGTTAAAATCTCTTAAGAGATTTTAACTGACGGAGCTCTCTCTGACATTGCAAAGTCACTGGTGACCTACTTAAAACCGTGGGAAAAGCAGACAACAACAACACTATATAAGATTCATGAGATATATTCGTCTTTTTGTTAAAAATGCATTTATATCCACAATGTGTGCCATTCTGGGCTTTTCGTTATCCGACGCACTGTACAAAAACTCGCAACTTACGTCTGAGGGTTTCCCGCCATGTTATTTTGGTCTCGAATGAACGCGAGAATCCGCGTGACACCATTACGTCATTAGCAACGAATGCACTTGTCGAGCGGAAAAAAGGGATCGAAAGCCATATTGACAAGCACAGATTTTAGTTTTCCTACAATAACGGCCGTTTTAGTGGTAAAATACAATAGAATATATTTCCATGCGTTGTTTACAATGTATTTCATGCGGATTTTTGAATCTCAAAGGAAGAGTTATTATTGCTTTAAGAGAAGCATTTACTGAAAAATGTGTACTTCAGCATTATAGGACAGGCAATGGGTGTCCCTAAATTGTGCCATACATGCACCACAATACAGCACAATACACTGGAAAAAAGCAAGTCCAATTGCAATTAAACAAAGGAAGTGATCATTCCTAACAAAATAGGATGATTATAAAAGCAAAATATATTGTTAAGTAATTAATATTGTTGATACAACTTAACAAATCAGTGAGACTTCCATTTTTTGGGGTCGACAGCCATCTTAGCGAGTAGCTCTTCTTGGCAGTAATACAATTTATGCACACAGGCAGTGGACTGTAATTGGGACAGAAGATATTTGTTACATTTGGGTGTTAGCTCACACTCCATTCTCCATTGCCTGTAGGTCTAGCAACACACTTACAGTTTCTCTGTGCATTTCTAGTGTCTGCTGGTCTAGCTGCCACCCTTAACCAGCCCCAAGTGGGAAATCCCCTCCTGGGTCAGCCGGGTGTGGCCAACCCCACAGTATATAGCCTGGGAGCCAGTCAAGCCAGCTTGGCACAGCAACAGTTTGCTCTCCAGCAACAGGCAGCAGTATCACAGATAGGCCAGGTACATGTAAGATACAACATTTCTAATATCACACTCAAATTTGCGATAGATTTAAGACTTACCTCTAAAGTGTTTATGTGGACATTTGCTTGAAAATGAATTTTATCATTGTTTTTATCACTAAAATACCTGAGGTGATTTTTGTTTGAGGTGAAACATAATCTGTCAAAGTTGAGTTAAATAAAAATCTGATCATAATAAATGGTGGTCAAGATTACAGGTCATGACTTTGCTATTTTCAGCCAGGTATAGCCATTCCTACTACACTGGCCACCACTCAGGTAGCCACTGTCAGTTACCCCACTCCCAGGGCAGCCCAGCAACCTCAGCCCAAACAGAGGGTCTTTACAGGTGTGGTAACCAAGCTACACGATAACTTCGGATTTGTGGACGAGGATGTTTTCTTCCAGACAAGGTAACAGTTGAGATGATGGTTTGATTAATTCAAATGGGGTCAGTTACTGCTGAGGTAGTTGGAGGGGGCATTTGAGTATTAATGTGTTTGAAAATAAGTAGCTTATGGCACCAAGCTGTTTTTGAGATTCTTGGGCTTCACTCTATCCTTATCTTCCAGTTGTGTGAAGGGACATCCCCCTAAGGTTGGAGACCGTGTACTGGTAGAGGCCTCATACAATGCCAACATGCCCTTTAAGTGGAATGCAACAAGGATACAGGTTTTACCTACACAGGTAAGTATATGTAAGCGCTTTGGTTTGAATTGTACGTAGGATTATGAGGTGTAGTACATAGAGTAGACTCCTTGTAACTTGTCACCTTACAACTTGGATTCTGAAACCAACCTTGTGTAATGCATTTTTCCTTTGGTGTTAGCTGAATCTTTTGAGCACTGAACCTATTTTGGATTTTCATAGAACTTGAACAAATTATCAAGTGGAGAAGTGTTTGAGTTCTGCAGTCTTCTGTAAACTTCTATTCGTGAAATACACTGAATATGCACCACATTTCAACATATAAAATATATTTTACAGGGACGGGTCCAGATATATTTTTTGACAGTCTTCCAAATTATCTGTTGTTCCATCCTCCTTTTTTGACCGTCTTCCGACAGAAAAAATTACATACCCATCGATGTAAACTTGAAAAAATGACCGTCTTCTAGAAGACCCAGAAGACGGCCTCAATCCGCCCCTGTTTTAGGTCAGCATATCTAACCTGTACATATAGATATATGTATGTTTAACATACCTGTGTTATTCCAGCCTGGAGGCATACAACAGCAGCAGCAGCAGTTGCCACCTCCACAGTTCCAGCCTCCTGTACCCATCCAGGGGCAGCAGACCTTCAAGCAGCCCAGTGTGGCCACCCCCAATATACCTCCTCCCACCATTACTCCCAGCATAACACCCAGTGTCCTTGGGCCCATCACCCCCTCACAGCTGTCACATCCGCCGCCACCATTAATGGGACAAGGAGGTGAGATATTAAATGTTGTTATTAGGTACAAATAGAAACTTTAAGAAACTTTTTTTCAGTCAGGTGTTTATGTTATTTTTCTTGAACATCATCTTGAGCTTATTTTGAACATAAGTCTGATTTTGAGGATAAGTGTAAATGGATTAAAAAATATATTTATCATTTTTTTTAACCTGTGAAATATCAATTCGCATGCATATTCTTTTCCTTGTAACACATTATAGGGCTTTTGCCACCACCCAATCATGGAAGATTTAATGCACCAGCTGGACGCTCTGAAAGAGGGCGCTATGATAGGGACAGGGAAAGAGAACGTGACAGGGACAGGGGTGAACGTGAGAGGCGGAGATCACCAAAGAGAGCTAGGTCAAGGTCACCTAGAAGACGTTCCCCAAGAAGAAGTCCTCCGAGGAGGCGCCCAGCCAGAATAGTGCCACGCTATGTGGTGCAGGTACCAAAGATAACACTGGACATGTAAGTTCAGATGTCATTCATATCTCTGACAGAGCTTGAGTTCATTAATGTGAGTGCATGATACAGATGATTTACATTGATAATGATCATATACACAAACCCATAGGTTTTCAACTTTTGAAAACAAAGGTTCAATACTGATATTGTGTATAAATTAAAATTGTTTTCCTTTTCAGAAAAGAGGCAAATGTCATGCAGCTCCGTTCACGCTATACCAACCTATACATCCCCAGTGATTTCTTTAATGCCGGATTTGCATGGGCTGATGCCTTTCCCTTACATCGCCGCTTCCAGCTGGGCAACCACTGTATCTTCCATGTGATGAGCAAGGAAGTGGAAGCATTGGAACCTAACACAGCAGTGCTGGAGCCTCCAGATGCTGACCATCTCTATAGTGCTAAGGTGAAGATAATATGTACTGAAGACATTGTACGGAAATAATTAAAATTTTCGTCATGTTGTAACTGTCTTTGTACACATGTTACATGTTTGGTAGGGCCTTTAAGAGATTGTTGTACTATCTGATATCTTTCAGAACCTGTAAATACAAGAGAAATGGTCTTGGTTGTAATATCCAATAGCAAATTTAGATTGTTTTTCCAGTTAATCGTAACTTTTTACTGTCTCCCTTAATCAGGTAATGTTGATGTCTAGTCCCACTTTAGAAGAGCTATATCACAAGACGTGTGCCCTGGCAGAAGACTCCAGTGAGCAGAAGGAAAGTTTCCAGCACCCAACACGCTTGTTGTCCTTCCTGGTTGGTTTGAAGGGGAAGAGTGAACCTATGGCTATTGGAGGGCCGTGGTCCCCCTCCCTGGATGGCCCTAACCCTGCTGAAGACCCTGCTGTGCTCACTAGAACTGCCATACGGACCACCAAAGCCTTAACTGGTATAGATCTTAGTGCCTGTACACAGTGGTAAGTGGCTTAAGAGTCATGTGAGCTATATTTAAAGATAATGTTTACCAAATGAAATACTCCTTGAACAGAAGTGATTTTCAGGTGTTAATTAAGATAAGATTATGATTAGAGAGATAAGTTCATTTGTAATACTGAGTGTTTTGAAGTAGGTTAACTTTTGTGTGGTCTTACTTAATGAAAACCTCCGAAACTTGCCTGTTTTTATCAGTTAATTAAGGTGAATGTTAACCCTTTCCGCACAGGTATCGCTTTGCAGAGATCCATTACCATCGTCCAGAAGAGACTCACAAAGGGCGTGTGGTCCCGGCCCGTGTTGAAACTGTCGTGCTTTTCTTACCAGACGTATGGAGCTGTCTCCCCACCCGCCTGGAGTGGGAGGTCCTGCAGACAACTTACAAACACCAGCTGACAGATAAGCTAGCAGAGGAAGCCAAGGAGGAACAGGCACTGATTATTATCTTGTTAAATGTTCATATAATACACAACACACGTTTTTTTCTTGCATTTTCATGTTATCAAAAGTTGGGGTTGAAATTTCACGCCCACTGCGGAGATTCTCGCCTGGGTATTCTGGGACCTTAAATCATCTGCCATTGATGTCTCTTTATTCTCTAGTGCATTGTAATGTGTATATGACTGATCCAGCAGCTGCCNATATTCAACCAGGATGAGATTTTTCCTACTTTTGGCATTTTTCTGTCCTCTTTTGTTGGTGTTGGTGCTTACAATGGTAATGAGATTTTTCTGACTATCAGAGGATTGCCAATTATGTGGGGAGCCAAAAGTCTCATCCCTGATTCAATATTGAAGGAATATCTATCAAAACTTTTGTGGTGCACATGTACTACATTTTATAGAACTGTCTTATTTGTAACTGAATTATGGAAGTGATATTGAGAAATAACAACATTTCAGCTGGTTGACTTGAGAAAGGAGCTGGAGGCTCGTAACTTGAGCAGTAAGGGTTTGAAATCTCAGCTGATTGCCAGGCTCACCAAGGCTCTGAAGACAGAGCAAGAGAAAGAGGAACAGGAGGCTGAGAGCAAAGAGGTGGGTGTTTGGTTCAAGAAAACATGAAATAGAAATAACTGAAAGGTTTGAATGCTATCAACTATTTTACACTATGCTTTTATGGGCATAAAAACCAAGGATTCATTTCATTTGGAAATTGTGTTACAAGGGTTCAGTTTTCCCTGTGCTCATGTTAGTGTTAAAATCCATACTTAATTAGTTGTGTCATCAGTTCGATTTAAGCATAAAGAGTTTTGTAAAATATATTTGACCTCAGGCAGAAGAAGAGCACAAGAAAGAGGAGGAGGAAGAGAAAATGGATACAGATGAAAAAGAGGAGGAGAAAAAGAAAAAAGAGGTAAGATATGTTTGCATATTGAATAAATTAAGTCACAGGAGTTAAATGTTTTAATTATAAAAAAATATAGATTTTGATTATAATAGCTATTGAAATGATACCTAATTTTAGGATGAAGAGAAGAAGCGTCGTGAGGAACGAGAAAAAGTTGCCCGAGAGCGCCGATATACTCTACCTGAAAGTCCAGCCATATTGGTCCATCCATCATCTGTGGCCAAGAGTGGAAAATTTGATTGCACAAACATGTCCCTCAGTGTTCTCTTAGATTATAGACCAGAGGACAACAAGGAGCACACTTTTGAGGTAATAAAGTTCGAGTAGAAAAGAAAAATAAAACGATTGATAAAAATGCTAGGTTTTTTTTTTTTTTTTTTTTTTTTTTTGTTAGTGTAGTTTTTGGCATAGTTTATTTCTGATCCTCTGTTGAAGTTTTAAAAGTTTATGGTAATTTTTGGCAGGTATCCCTGTTTGCTGAATTGTTCAATGAAATGTTGATGCGGGACTTTGGGTTTAGCATTTACAAAGCACTTGTGGTGGCTCCAGAAAGAAAAGAGGAAGATAAAGAAAAAGACAAGGAAAAGAAAGACAAAGATGAGAAACATAAGGAAAGGTCTGCGAGCAAGGTAGGAACAATCATTTATATACTATAAACAATACATAATGTGTAATTTGTCATATGTATGTTGAATTCTTCCACTGTTTACATAGCACCTAGTAGATAATTTAAGTTTACATGGTTGATAGATTGAGTCATAGATATAATGGGCAATTGTAGGAATCAAAATTAAGTTTTGTAATTGGTTAGCTTTTAATAGGATTTGATAATACTGTGTTTGCAAAATTAAGATTGCATTAGTTATTGCTTTCAGGAACCAAGCTCCAAGCGACGTAAGACGGATGAAAAGGATGAGAAAGAGGACAGAAAGGTAAAATATCTCCAAATATCTCATTGAAATAATTTTTTCTGATGTTAGATATAGATAAAAATTAATATAGATGCATTTGATTACTTGTGAAAAATAATTTATTTCCAACTCTTTATGTAGGAAGATGAGAAGGAAAAAGAAGTCAAAGCAGAGGTAAAAGAAGAGAAGAAAGAAAAAAAGGAAGAGAAAAAAGATGAAATTAAGGTTAGTAATATGGCAAATATAAAATAGTATAAAGAGTTTAGGCATGTCACAGAAATTAAACCTTAGACTTTTTTGTCTTATAATACCACTTACAATACCAAAATTTGTTTTTGTTGTAGGATGAAAAGGAGAAAGAAGAAAAGAAAGATGAAGAGGAAGAAGAGGAAGAGGAGGAAGAAGAGGAGGATCAAGAGGTACACCTTTGATAACATGTTTACTTAAGTATATTTACAAAAAAATTACAGTAAATGATAATAGTTCTCTATTGAACATAAAGACAATTCGATACTGTATTTAAGTTTGAAAATTCTTCAAAATTATTTCCTCAGTATTTGATTTGAACTTGGTTCTTCTGGTTGCAGGAAGAAGAAGATGATGAGGGCAACAAAAAGAAGAAAGATAAAGGTGAGGCATAATTCATTTACTTGCATTTCAAATCTAGACAGCATTGTATATCCACAATGTTATACACTTTTCTTATCCTGGACATTTTTCAATATTGGAATAAAAAATTAATTGAAAAGGTATTTTAATTATTGATTTTAAAACTTGTTGTTTTATTTGAAAACCTAATATGTAATACAAATTTATTTTCAGACAAGAAAAAAGACAAAGAGAAAAAGAGAGAAAAAGTGAAGTTCTACACTGCCTACCCAGAACTTTTGCTAGCATTTGTGTACTTTGACCAAAACCACACAGGCTACCTCTTGGACAAGGATGTGGAGGAAATAATCCACACACTAGGGTTGCAGCTATCAAGAGCTCAGGTAGAGGAATTGCTCTGTCTTGATGATTTATTTACTGAATATGCCGATAGTCTATTTTGATCTTGGATGTGTGAAAATGTAAAATTGGTATCAATATAAAATGTGAAAATATGTACTGAGAGCCCTGCCTACAATGGGGCATGGTTAGTAAGTGTTCTGTTGAGAAATATGCGATTGTGTTGCTGAGTGGTTAATATGGCAATAGCTTATGAATATAAATTATTACATAAAAAGATGACCTGAAATTTTAACACAGCAATACTACTTCTAGTATATACAGCTGTCAAATCTTCATATTTCAGGTTAGAAAATATGTACAGAAACTGGTTTCTAGGGACACCCTGAACTACAGAAAGTTAACAGACAAACCATGTCCCAAAGATGGCTTAGAAACACCAGTGGCAGAGGGAGAGCAAACGGAGACAAAGAAAGAAAATCAGACAGAGGCCCTAGATGAAGAAACGATGGCTATAGGTATGCTAGACTGGTATTTTTGTGATTAGAACTTGTTTTGTGCAAGTAAAGGATATATTTCCACAAGTAATATTTGATGTACTATTATTTCTTCTGGTACTCTGTTGTGTTTTATAATTCATTTAGTATGACAATTTGACATTCTCAGTAAAATGGTACATTTCAGGTAATAATATTTTCCTGATAAAGGAGAAGAAGGAACCAATAGAAAAAGAGGTGCGTACCCGCAGCAGACGTGGTAAGAAGGAGGGAGAGCAGAAAGAAGAGGCTCTCAGTGCGGACACTGGTATGGTGCTCTACAAGGGATCGCTACTGGACCTCGACAGCTTCATGCAAAGACTGGAGAAGAGTGAGAAAGCCAGGGTCCAACTGGAAACCAAGTTAAAGGAGTATCAAGATGATATGGGTAAGTGGAGTCAGATTTAGAAAACCAAATGTCAAAAAAGGCTCCAATCTTGATGGGAATGGGAGCCTTGTTTTTGCACCTGGTCAGCTTCATATTGTATCTATTTTTATTTGAGATATCATTACTTGATAAAGATTATATTCAAATTGTCCGATTTCCTTTAATGTGTTTGAATGTATAAATGCCTTGTACTGAAATTGATTGTATTTTCAACTATTTTGTTAAAATGTAAGAAAAAATTTCTATTCTTTATTATATACAAGAGACACAAGTATGTTAGTCCACAGCAGTGATCTTATAGCAACTATCTTCCTCTTACAGATTCTCTAAAAGGCAGCTTTAACAGCAGTGAACAACACAGTCAGAAGGTTGTGTTGGAATTACAAGAACTCAAAAAGAAACTAAGAGACCAAACTAAAGCTACAAATGAAGCTGAAACACTAGTGAAAAAGTATCATGCTGCATTAGACAGCTCCAAAAACAGTCTTATTAAAACTCTGAATGAGATCACTTCAGCACTTGTCAAACAGGAGCCATCAGAGGACAAGGACATGGCAAACGGAGACAAGTAAACAGATGTACAAATTAAATAAAAATAACAGCTGAGCTTGAAATTATCCAAAGAATGAATTTGGTGGTACAACATTTCCCAACATCCAGCATGCCTTTATGTTAAAGTCTTGGAGAGGTAACTGCCTTCTGTGCTTTGGAAAGGTATGCTATCCTCATACCTTGATGGATGTAATTTGACTGCCTTGTAGTTTGATAGGCATATGACTTGTTCATTTCACACCTGAAAATGCAATATTCTGCTTTTATGATTAGAAATAATTTTAATTATTTTGCATGTGATTTATCTTTGTTTTAAATAGAAATTATTTCCAAATGTCTTTAGAAATACAAATTATGTTGACACATTTTTCATTAGTGCTTATCTTTAGTTAGCAATGGATATTTTGGGTATTGAGTTGAGCATGTTGAACCTATTCCTGTAAACCTAATTGTGCCATCAGTTGGAAAACTTATTTGGGGTTCTGTTCAAGAGGATTATTGTCTCCAAATACTCCAAAACAAAATTCTGAATAATGCTTTGTTGGAAGAAGTGTTTTGGGATAGCAGAGGTCATGGACTCCTTATTGTTGCGCTGTTTATTGTACAGGTATCATAACAAGTGTCAAATCATGTAATTTTTCAGCACCTACTCTTCAAATCACTGTAGATATATATAACTGCATGTCATCAGCTCTCAGATATAAAATGATACAATAAAGGAAAAACATTATTGTCATTGATATACACAGATGTTATTGTCTTTACATCTTCCCCTCTGTGTCTGTCCATCACCAGTACCAAAGCTATGCACATTTCAAGTTGTTGCAGCAAGTGGGAAGCAATGTGGATTCCTTATGTGGTCATAAGAATTTCTTAGAAAGCAGTCGGTCACTGCAGCAGTTTGTCATGTTTTCTTTGTCAGCCAAATCAATTTTTTCGATTTTTTCAAGCCTCTGGAACTCCTTACTTTGGTTGGGTCCTGCCATCGATCAAAGCAGGGTCAGTAAAAGGAATTATCAGTGTTGCAGGAAATGGGCCTGTGTAAATTTTATTGGTGAAGCTGGAAAGGCCATTTAAAAGCGAGGAGTATCCTGAAGGATATAGCAGAATTGTATTTATGGAAAAGAGGCACTTAAAAAAATTGAATGCCTTAGTAAACTCTCCAAGCTTTCCCCCTAGTGTTAAAATGAATAGCTAGACGTTAATGTGATTAATTGATAAAAATATTAAAATCTCTAGCTTCATTTCATTTGGTAAAATGTACTACAGTGAAAATTAAGGCTGCATCTTTGGTGGATTGTGCACTTGTATAAACAATGGCAGTTGGCATTTGCAAAGCTACATGATTAACCTCATTAAAAGAACATAAAAGACTGATAAAGAAAGCAAGTATTAGTACAAACTAATAAGTTTTAATTCATGAACTCCCATTCCCAGTAATGTACATACCATTTGATTGATTTCCCAAATCCCTACAAAGATACTAAATAAAAATTGCACTTTTGACTAATGATTACAATAGGCAAACAACAGAATAAAAACTGTGTTGGATAATCTTTGGCAAGTAATATTCTCCAGGCATCAATCTGTTACAACAGCCATACACTTTTACAGGAAGCCCTTGAGGGAAATGCAGTAATATGGTTTTTCTTTTTTTCTGTTCATTTTGGCAGTTGCAGAGCATCAGCATGTCCCAAACCAAATCACAACGTCCATTATACAGTACACAACAAACATTTCTATGCCACTCAGCTGTTCTGGCCACAATAAAAAAAAAAAAAA